GAATATCGGGATGTGGACACTTCCCTAGTTTAGACTCAGACTAAACCATTCCCATAGGTGTGGCAGTAAATAACAGGCTGGAATATCGGGATATGGACACTTCCCTGGTTTAGGCCTAAGACTAAACCATTCTCACAACTCTGGCAGTAAATAACAGGCTGGAATATCGGGATATGGACACTTCCCTAGTTTAGACTCAGACTAAACCCTCCCGCAGGTGTGGCAGTAAATAACGGGCTGGAATATCGGGATGTGGACACTTCCCTGGTTTAGGCCTAAGACTAAACCCTCCCGCAGGTGTGGCAGTAAATAACATTGTGGAATATCGGGATGTGGACACTTCCCTAGTTTAGACTCAGACTAAACCCTCCCGCAGGTGTGGCAGTGCGGGGGGCAGGTGGAGATCATCCCCTGCTCCGTGGTGGGCCACGTGTTCCGCTCCCGGAGCCCGCACACCTTCCCCAAGGGCACGCAGGTGATCTCCAGGAACCAGGTGCGCCTGGCCGAGGTCTGGATGGACGACTACAAGGAGATCTTCTACCGGAGGAACCAGCAGGCGGCCCAGATGGCCAGGGAGGTAAACTGGGCAAACTGGGAGGGCCGCACTGGCTCTGCTGGGCGTGGGGTGCGGGGAGGTCCTGCTGAGGGAGCTTCACCCGAGCTGGGGGAGGAGGGGAACCACCACGGGTAGAATTAGCCAAAAAAAAAGCTAATTTTGGTTATTATCTCGATTAGATCGGGATGTTTTCTGGTAGAAAAATGTTGATTTTTTTATATATATAGAAATATATAAAAATGGGAGGGGCTTTATGACACCAAAAAGGTGCCAAAATATCTCTGAGCTCAGGCCTGAGGGGATGAGGGGACCTGCCAGGTGACCCCCCCACCCGGTCTGGGATGACCCCCAGCTCTGAGAAGGGGGTTTTGGGGAGATTTTCCTTGCTGTTTTCAGATATTAATTTAATTTTCTCACGTGGCTTTGTCTATAAAATACCATTTTTCTGTAAAAATGGGGATTTTTTACAACACCAAAATCCCCCTGAGCTCTTGGGGAGCAGCCGGAGGCTGAGGGGACCTGCCAGGTGACCCCCCACCGGTCTGGGATGACTCCCAGCTCCGAGAAGGGGTTTTTGGGTTGGTTTTTTTTTTTCCTTTGCCGTTTTCGGAGGTTCAGTTTCATTTTCTCCACGTGGCTTCGTCGATAGAAGTCGTTTGGTGACATTACAGAGCGGCGGCGGCTGCGGGAGCGGCTCCACTGCCGGAACTTCACGTGGTACCTGCAGAACGTTTACCCCGAGATGTTCGTCCCCGACCTCACCCCGACCTTCTACGGGGCGGTGAGTGCCGGGAGCGGGCCGAGAATTCCCGCTGGGAATAACCGAGCGGGAAAATCCCCCGGCCTTGGGTTGAGGGGGTTGCTTTAGATCAGCGTTGGTGCTGCCGCGTCTGTCCCCGTGTCTGTCCCCGCGTCTGTCCCCGTGTCTGTCCCCGAATCCGTCCCCGGCTGGCGGGGCGGGTTTTTGGGCTGCGGCTCCGCTGGAATCCGGCAGAGCCGGTTTGGGAGGGGGGGAGATCCAGGGTGAGGAACCCACGGGGACAAAGAGATGGAAAGTTCCCCTCGCGAGAACCGAACGCCGCAGGGCACGGGATGGGCTTGGAAAACTCGGCTGGGGACGGGACACGGAGCTCCGGGTCCATTCCAAAGGAATCTGGGGACAGACAGGACATGGAGCTCCGGGTCCATTCCAAAGGAATCTGGGGACAGACAGGACACAGAGCTCCAGCTCCATCCCTGAGGAATTGGGAACAGGCAGGATGAAGCTCCAGTTCCATTCCTAAGGAATTTGTGGACAGACAGGAGACAGAGCTCCAGCTCCATCCCTGAGAAATCTGGGAACAGGCAGGATGTGGAGCTCCAGTTCCATCCCTAAGGAATCTGGGAACAGGCGGGACATGGAGCCTCCCAGTTGTGTCCCTGAGGAATCCGGGGACAGGCAGGATTTGCAGCTCCAATTCCATCCCTGAGGAATTGGGAACAGGCAGGATTTGCAGCTCCAATCCCATCCCTGAGGAACTGGGAACAGGTGGGATTTGCAGCTCCAATCCCATCCCTGAGGAATTGGGAACAGGCAGGATTTGCAGCTCCAATCCCATCCCTGAGGAATTGGGAACAGGTGGGATTTGCAGCTCCAATCCCACCCCTGAGGAATTGGGAACAGGTGGGATTTGCAGCTCCAATCCCA